CCCCCCCCCTCAATCCCCATCTCTATCAGCTTCACTGCTGTTTTCATATTCCATCCAGAGCTTTATAGTTAAGGTTTAATTCGTCGGCATTGTCAGTTCCATTAATTTCCCGCGATAAACAAGTACTTTCAATTTTTCGAAAATCTCTGGAATTTTTAACTGACAAATATTTTGGTTAATAAATTGTTAATTCGAAAATCAAATTTATTTCTCACTACGATCATCAAATTTATGATTGATAAATCTTCGACTTAATTATAAAAAAAGGCCCTTGAGAGTAGAAAAAAAAAAATTACCGCCCCTCGGAATAAAAATTTTTTTTGTCACCACATATACTCTCGGTAAATATATTTGGTCTCGTGTAGGTCGGAGAAAATATTTAAAAAAATAACAAAGTCATCAAAAACCCGGTGATAAAATTTAAATGGCCATAACCTTGTTTGTACGTACATACGCGAAAAGTTGAATTAATGGGCCCCGTGAAATCCCTGCGGTAGAGTACACAAGAAATATAATGTTCGACGTGAGACAGAGGACAGTTTAAAAAAAAAAGGAGGAGAGAAAAATTGTACGAAAAAAAAAAATCGACCTGTAGTACACCTGTGCATCATTCACGGCAGTGTGACGACGTAGGTATTACGCGACACAGGATAATAAAACAGCGCTGTTGAGAGACCCAAGCGTATAACCAGTAATAAATGTTTGGTTGGTCATAAAGTCGTTATTACCTTCTGGGAGGCGAGATAAAAAATACGGGGGGACGAAAGTTTGTGGTATGTTGAGTAATACTGAAGGATCCAATCACGCGAAATTCCAAAATCCTGAGGACGAGTCAAAAAAAAAATTTGTAAGACCTTTCCGTCTCTTTATCTCTTTCAATCTATTCCTGTCTCTTTCTGTCTTTTTCTGTCTCTTTCTATCCCATTTCTATAATTTCTATAATTCTATAATTATATTCCAATATATTCTACGAAAATTGTCCGTAAATAATAATGTAATGGGTCTTGAACCGTGAGGTAATATCTGATGAATGAGAATTTGGAAATTTTTTAAAAGGCGAATAAGGGCACGTGGAAGTATATTATCGGTATAAAGACACATGGCCTGCGGTAGTATTCGCTTCATTTGTCTTTATATTAGCGATGGTACGCACCCCCGTAACGCCACATAATAAACCCCCAAATGCTCAGCGGGATGGCGAAAGCCAAAGCAACTCGGCTTTTTTCTCCCCTTTCGTATGATTTTTTTTTTTTCTAAACATGGGATGTAAGGCACATGATCTTACGCCATAATTCAGGGAGTGGAAAAAATGAGGATAAAAAATAGGGAAAGAGTGGAACGATCGAAATATGTAAAGCGATAATAAATGAAACAGCCGGAGCTGGGGTTCCCCAAGGGGTTAATTTCGATTCAGGGGGTTGGAGGCATTCACGGTTCCTTAAAATCCGTTTTCTCTCTGGGGTCGAGTTACCGCAGGAGAAAAAATGGTCATTCAGGTCCAATGACGACACTACCCTTCGGGCTTTCATCATTTTCACTGGATATCATTTTTTTTATTTAATACCAATGACTAGGAAACATTTTTATCAATCATTCATTTATATGGATAATTATTGAGACAGTCGATAAGAGTGAATTGACTTATTTACTTCGGAATAATTAATGACAATTTTCTTTTTTATGTTACAGTCGATCAGATGCACTATCACCGGCTGCACCTGCGACTCCTTCACTCCTGGCAAACGTCATCTACGGTATTGCGACAAGTGTCATCATGGCTGGGTTCTTCACGGTGAGTCGATATATTATTTTTTTCAAATATCCACTGTTGAAAAAATATCACTGATGATTCCGGAGATGTGAAATTTTTTTAACAGTGCGATATAATTATTTATACCGATGAAAATGAATTGCGTATCGGACAATTGAAAGGGGAGATGGTACGTCCATCGTAAAAAAAATCGAAATGTCAGCGGCCATTCCTCAGGGACAAAAATTCAATTTTCCATGGATGACCAGCGCCCATTCCACGGCCCTGGCACACCCCTCCGGGGGTATAAGACCACAAACTTTATGCGCTCATAAGTTTTAGAATATATCGGATGAGCCCTGAGGTATATCGAAATACAACTCGAAAGTGGCTATATCGAGACAACCGAATGTACCTCCCTCCACCCATCCATGCCAACGTATTGGTACCTGGAGTTTGTCTTCTCAGGAACATGCGCGTAGAATTCGTAACTCCTGGGTGCGATATAAGAAAAAAAAACCGGTCGAAAAAAAAAAGAAAAGTAGAAAACCGCGAGGAATATTGGATATTCGATATACGTTTGAAATTCCAAAGCGCTTGACCCTCGGTAGATTGAACTGACCGGTCATAGACCACGAAATACATATCAATTTTTTTTCACGTCCCTCGGGTACTCGAATCCCATAAAAGTTATGGTGAGCGTCACTCCTCGCCTCTTTTGTGTCGTATTTCCGAGTCACAATGACTCCATCCAATTCCACTGACACATGATTTCTCGATAAATATTTAATAACCACGACAAACATTTTCCATTCATATATTTTTTTATCCCGGTGCGTGATGAATGCGTTAAAAATGATTGGACAACGGGAGCGGGAAAGAGAAGACGAATTGAGAGCGACGTGCGCTGACAAAGGCCCTTTTAAATTGTAATGAGCTGCCAAAGAGTGAATTATGTGCCGTCCAAGTGCCATCGGGGCCTCGCCAACTGAAAAATCCCCATCCCCTGACGATGAATTCCCCATATATCGTCGGTATTTTGCCCCGAGTACTGAAAATGAGAGGGATAGAGAGAGAACTTACACCCCATGTCATGAATATATTTACATTGATCGCTCGTCTCGGTATTTTTCATTTGGTGAGGACTCTTGTACCGATAGTACGTCTATTCCATGATTTATCGCTCATCCAATCGAGGGATAAAACAATACCCCTTATTAATTAATATTTTTTATCGTCAATAAAAAAATATTAACGTTTAAATAAAAATTACCTATGAAAATCGATCGGGATGGAGCGACTCCGTTGCCATCTGCCCTCTTCTCGGTACATCTGCATTATTCTAGAGGAAGGGGCCAGCTGGTGCCTCAAAAAGTACAGCACCCCCTGGCGAAAGGAGTCGATCCATACCTTCGGTATTTCAAAACAAAAGGGAACGCTCAAAATGAGAAATGAAACGTAAAAATAGTCATCTACGGGGATAAATCATGGAAGGCGTTACCCAAAATGACAACCTCAGGCCCCGGCGTTAATCAAAATCTAGGGGGTTTTCTGGGTAGGGGAGGGGGGGTTCGTTCTCCCTCTTTACCATCCCCCATAATTTTTTCGCGTTAAAAGGGCCGAATTGAGCTGACGGGATTTATTTAATGGGCTCAAAACTAGTCGGTCATTTCGCATCAACAGGGGGTGCACATTTGCATCATCTATCCTAATAATTTAATTTCAAAATTCAATTTGCATTCTAATTTTAAAAATCCATTGGAAAATTTATTCGCGGATTTAGGACGTATGAATTTCTTTTTTTCTTTTTTTTTTCCGCCAACTACTGGACGGAAGGTATTGATGCGAATTGGTACGGATTAAACCGCAATTTGCGTACTCAGTTCTCAGCGGTTCATTGGTTGCAGTGACGTAGTTATGGTTTAAAATAGAATATGCGGAACAAATTCGCGACGACGAGGTTGGTGGGCTGAGACGTGTGGTTGGATGATCCCCCCCTGTAAACACCGAGGCGCCGCGGTGCTTTACGACGCGCGCCATCGAGTCACCCTCGTTGCTTGTTTAGGTTGGGCCCTCGATTTCATTTTTTTTTTCTCCGCGTATTTATGGGATAAAAGTACAACGTGTGGTAACAATATACCTCGAGGTACTCGAACTGCTGACAAGAATTTTCCAAAATTTTTTGATGACGAGAACCCGTTAATTTTCCATTTCATTCAATCAAAAAAAATCCAAATTCATTTCTATTTCAACTGAATGTCTGAGGAATACAATAGGAATCATAATAGCAATGATAATAATAATAATTGTCATTATTATTATTATTATTATTATTATTGTTTATTTATGAGTTAATTTTTAATTATAATGAATAGAATAATTATAATGAATAGTAACTGAGTGGAAAATTTTGAAGAATGAAAATATGTGTGGAAAATATTGATATATTTGTTCTTTTTTAATGACTTTTCGATTTGGCGAATGGATTGATATTCATGGATCAATTTGTACCGGTGATTTTAACCGTGAGAAAGGTGTACTAGGATTTTATCGATGTTGGCCGTGCAATTTCCCAGATTAGGATTAAACATTGATGCCGCAGTCTGATACAGATTGATGTCCAGTCCGAATACTGAGAAACTCCATTTCCGCTTGACCTGACGTCGATGTTATTTGTCTCGGGGGTAAATTCCCCCTCGATTTTTCTATCCCTCGTCTGAGATATGAGGAGGAAAATATGAGGGATATTGTCATTTACCACCTCTGGATGAGCGGAGATTCGTATCTTATCGGGCATTCACTTTCTCAAAACTTTTCTGACATTGTCGTGCTTGTATAGGAACATTCATCTTGAGATAAAATCCCTCTGGGGGGGTAGACACTGCTTTATTTCTTCAGAGTGTCATGCCTCATTGACGGATTATTTTTTTAATAGATTGATACCTCCAATCCGTCGCAATTCCGTTGATTGTTTTTTTTCTCCAGATGTACCCGCAAAGTGCCAATGATTTATTTCTTCAAAATCACGGCCTCTCATTGACTGGTAATCCATTATAAAAAAAAAATGGTGTCCAATTTCGTCTTTGTTTTCATTCAATTGACGATAATTTCTTTATTTCTACTCGGATAGGGATAATTCATAAATCAATTAAATCGATTTCCTACAGGGTGATCTGAGGGTGAGAAGGTGGACACTTGGAAAATTATCGGTCAATAATTGTTTTACAAAATTGAAAAAAAATTATCGCTGATACAACGGGAATAATCAATGGTGAGCAGTGAAAATTCCACCCTCGAATTATTTTTGCACTTGACTATGAAAAATCATGGTGATAGTGAATGAGACTGAGTTTGTGGCTCTGGAGATACCGCAGAGGGAGGTGAATGTGGTCATGGGATTTCAGTTGAGAGATTAATGTGTCATCTGCCATCACGAGTGATTGACAGTCATGTGACCGCGACAAAAGTTGCCGACAAGCCGCTGTAAAATATTCCATGACCTATCGTTTGTCGTCACAATCCCTCGAGGGTAATCCATAATTAATGTCCTATGAAGAAACAATGGTTATTTTCGTTGGGTCAGTGATTAATAGTGAAAATTCCATGGATGATGGCAATTAAATTCTTCCAAGAATTGAAATAACTGGAGAAATCGTCCAAGACGTAATATAATTATACAGGGGGTAATAGAAGGCCAATTTAAATAATACCAGTCGCGTGGACGTGTACACAATATACAGATATAGAATGGTATCAGCAATTCAGTGGTTTCACCCCATCTCAACCATTGGACAGACTCAATTGTGAGACACTTCGGGCGTAGACTGTATTGTTGAAAAAGCCACGATGCTATCACCAGTCACGAAATTGAGGGTGCGCCAAAGAAACTGCCGTCTGCTATCCAATTTGATTATCCCGGCAATATGGGACTATGCAAATCATTCCACATCTAAAACTATATATAAAACACAATCCCTCCTCTCCTCTTCACCTTTTCACCACCCTCCCTTCACCCCCTCATGACCATTTTGCTGGCTAACAATTTCAACTCAATCCGAAAATTTTCTCGTGATTAATTAGACAGAATTTTCCTCACGGAAAAAAATATTTTCATTTTTCGCGAAAATGTACACACGAGAATTATACAATGTTTTTGCTCCAGTGTTGGTTCGAATTTTTTCTCCTCAAGTCGGTGAACATTTTTCTGACAAAAAAAAAAAATAAAAAAATACAAAATAAGCTCGGATATAATCGCAACGTTTCGCATACAAACGGGCGCTAATGGCGCGTATAGCTTTTGTTGTTTTTAATTAACCCTTTCTTTTAAGACGACCGGAGGGAGCGGTAAACTGTTACAAAGGTTCTCCCCAGTTCTTTTTTTTTTTTAACTCCTGCTTGGCTCTTCCGCCTTTGCCTAACTACCCTTTTTCCTCCAACTGGAGGCCCACCCCTTCATGCCCCAGGACTACGTCCTCGGTATCCCCGGGGAGATGTAAATACTCGCTGTGAACTGCACCTCGGAGACAGACAAGCTTTTCTCGTTTACGAGGCACGATGAGGCTCGTGCAATTAAAGCTTCATCTAATTACCCCCAGCGACCGCTCGGTTAATTGCCCCATGGTAAATGTCGAGACATTAATATCGAACCAGCCCATATATCCACAATAACACATCCAACAATTTCTCATCCATCAAAAAACCAAAATTCATCCAAGTGAATATCTACTCGATTAAAATCTATCAGATATATTCACGAGGGATTAAAGGGCTTGAATAGTTTTCATTCAGTCATTTTTCCCGACTTCCTTCTCAGATATCCTTCCTGTCCCTGTAAACGTCAAAAAAACGACGAAAAAGGGGTCGAAGGGCGAGACACAATGGCCTCGGTTGTTACGAAATCGGATGCACCAGTTGAAGAGCGTAAAATGTGGAGGAAAAAAAAAAAAGATGAAGAAGAAAAAAAAAGGGAAAGAGGCGAGAGAAACGGAGAAATGAGAAAAGTATTAAAAGGGAAGTCAAAGGGTTCCGAGGAGCGACGACAC